GCATCGCCTTCGCGCTCTGCAACCTCGCGTCCGAGCCCAGTCGCCGACCCATGATTGTCGATGCGAAAGGCATCCCACCGATCATCGCGCTCGCGTGCTCCGAGGACCCCGAGGACAAGAAGACGGCGATCGCAGCACTGCGAGGCCTCAGCAGCGCCCGCGAGAGCCGCGTCAAGATCGTACGCGACGGCGGCCTCGAGCCCCTCGTGCTGGGCGCGACGTCCAGCGACCACTTTGTGCGCCGCGAGGTGGCGGTCGCTGCCTACAACCTGTCGCTGGACGAGTCGAACAAGGTGTCGATCGCCAACTCGGCGCTCTTGCCGCTGCTCATCCAGCTCGTGGGCTCGCCCGACACGGACATGGACGCCACGGTGGGTCCTATTGTCGGTCGATGGTCGAATCATGACGATGTTGGTGTAGACGCACATGCCCTTCCACTTGATTGCGACCTATGCCTGCGCGACGCTGGCGACACTGGCCCAAGACGTCTCAACGCACGATCGCATTTTGCGCGACCGCGGCGGCGCCTTCCTCGTCGACCTCCAAAGCGTCGACGATCCGTTCGTGCTCTCCGAGGCGCTCAAATGCGTGTGCAACTTGGCGTGCAACTACGCCACGCACGCGCGCCTCCTCGAGGACCTCTGCCACGACCTCCTCCTCCACGCGCTGCGCCCTGAGCACAATGAGACGATCCGCACCTTTGGCGCCATCGGGCTCGGCAACCTCCTCGCCAACCCGCTCACGCACGACATCGTCCTGCGCAAAGACGTTGTGAGAGCCCTCGGGCGCCTCGTGGCCGATGCCGCCGCGCCCGAGCCGCAGCGCTACGCGGTCTTGGCGCTCGGAAGCATCCTCGGCAACAGCACGTTCCACGACAAGTGCCTCGAAGCTGGCATCTTGTCGCCGCTCGTGCAGGCGCTGAGCCATTTGTGCACGCTCGAGACGCGCTTCTACGCGACGTTTGCGCTCGGGAAGCTCGCGATGAACGCGACGCACCAGCGACCCATCGCGCGGACCGACCCGGCGGTCGACGCCACGCTCGCGTTGGTGACACAAGGCGAGAGCATCCACGCCCAGTGCCAAGCCGTGTCGGTGCTACGACGTTTGGCCGTCGACGACGTCATCCGCGCCGAGGCCATGTCGATCGCGCGGACGCCGAGCTTGCTTCCCGCGCTCGTCGTCGCCGCCAGTGCGGCTTTCCATGCCGCGTACATTGAATTAGATCGTGAGCTCGCGGCGCTCGCGTGCAACTGGACGCTCAGCGACGCGCACAAGCTGCCGACGGCGACGTCGCCGCTGCTCTCGCATCTCTTTCGCCTCAGTGCTTCGGGCGACATTGAGGTCGCGCGGAATGCCTGCGGCGCGCTCGCCAACATGGCCGAGGAGCCGGAGACGCACGTGAGCATGCTGGAGCTCCACGCGATGCCCAACTGCGTCCGTCTCCTCCGCAGTCGCTACGTCAGCGTGTACCGCGAAGGCAGTCGGTTTGCCGCCAACTTGCTCTCATCGGCCGACGTGCACGCGCTCTTTCTGCACGAGGAGGGACTTCCGGGGCTCATCCGCGTCGCCAAAGCCGACGACGTCGAGTGTCAGTACAACGTCGCGCTGAGTTTGCACAAGTTGTCGATGCAAAGCGAAAATCACGCTACGATGCTCCAGACCGGGTGTCTCCCGTGCCTCTTCCGCCTCCTCGGCGCGCCGGGACTGGCGGTGCAGCGCCAAGCCGCCGCGGCCCTCAAAGCGCTCTGCGCCAACGCAGACAACAAGCCCTTCATCGCCGAGAACGGAGGGATTCCCGCGATCATTTCGCTCCTGCGCGCGCAAGACGTCGAGTTGCAGACAATGGCCGCCGGTGCGCTCCGGCATCTCTCGCTGCATTTGCCTGTCAAGACGCAGTTTGTCGCCGAGAGCGGCCTTCCCCCGCTCTTCGAAGCGTGCAAGATCACGCACGACGATCTGCAGCTCCAGTGCGCCGGCGCGCTCGCGAATCTGAG